CCACAGGTGTATTACATTTTTGTTTGTCACAATCAATTGGAATATCTTAGATTCTCATCATAGTAGCTCACAAGTGTGTATATATACGTTTCATTATTGTAGTTTGAGATATAACACATAATGGAATGAATAGACTCCTTACACTACAGATCCCAATAGTCGCTGTGCAGTAGGAGGGGAGAGATGATTATTAAACTGCCTGGGAAAGTTTTCCTCTTAGCACAAAGGGAGTGAGAGAGCATTCACCTTTGCCTGGATATTGGACTGCCAACAGGAGACCACACCAGTGAAGATCCAAGCACTGCCCACATCACAGCACCTGCAGCACTGCTGCAGGGAAACTGGAGCATCCACTGACCCTCTGCTTCCCACCACTGATCACAGGAGGCTTTCGGGGGAAAAACCAAGAGGGCCTGCCTTCTACAGCGAGAGGTCACTCCCAGCATCCTGGGAGCTAGTGGATGGGCTATTTGCCCAATGCTGATACTACTAGCAGGGACTGAGCCACTCAGAGCAGCACATAAAGTGTACCCAATCCATACTGCACTCTATACCGCACTTATTCCAAAAACAAGACTTCCAGGTGGTTTTGGTTTGGTTTTTTTTTTTTTTTTTTTTTTTGTCAAAGCTTAACCCAGTGGTGTATTTTGGATTTTGTGCTGCCCTAGGCAACACAAAAATTGTCTGCCCCCACGGACAGCGACCAACACCAGTCCCCTTTCCCTTCCCATGGAGAGAGCCTGACATTGACCAACAACATCCCTGCCCCCTCCCGGCGATAGAGAGAAAGACCTTAACCTTCAAAGCTCCGGACATCCCTGGGAACAAGAGTCAAGTTCTACATACACCATCAAGCAGCCTCTCTTGGATCCTACCTGGTTCCCATGGCGTTCGTGTCCCTTCTTCTGAGGGGAGGTGCTGCCCCCCTGAAAGATTCCGCCCTAGGCAAGTGCCTTGTGGTAAATACGCCCCTGGCTTAACCACTTGCCTACTGGGCACGTTTACCCCCTCCTGCCCAGGCCATTTTTCAGATTTCAGCGCTGTTGCACTTTGACAATTGCGCAGTCATGCAACACTGTACCCGTATGACTTTTTTTTTTTTTTTTCCTCACACAAATAGAGCTTTCTTTTAGTGGTATTTTAATCGCCACTGCGTGTTGGTTTTTTTTTTTTTTTTTTTTTGCACTATAAACGAAAAAAGAGCAAACTATTTGGAAAAGTTTATTCCTTTCTATTATATAATTTTGTAAACTGGTAAATTTTCTTCTTTGCTGATGTGGGTTGATGAGGCGGCACTGATAGGCTGCACTGGTGGGAATTGATGATGTAGCACTGATAATCAGGGGCTGCACTAATAATTGGGGCACTGACAGGGGCGGACTGACAACTCATGGGGCCCGCGGGCAATAGGGGATCATGAGGCCCCTGTGTCCTTGCCCAAACTCAAAAAAGCTTATGAAAAAGGTACCAGGGGCATCTCATGGGGCCCCTTACTGACCCCGGGCCGTGCCCGAGTTTCCAAATGGTCAGTCCGCCCCTGGGCAATGATAATCTGTGTTTAACCTTGAGTTTGTTTGGGTCAAGCTGGCTGGATGTGTGGTAATGTACATACAGTATACCGTGCTGAGCCAAGCTGGCTCAAAACAAATGTCCCTATGACAGATTCATCTGTCAGCCTGCTGGATGTGCGGTGAGCCAATCGGTTTCAAAACGTACCGGTACGTCCGTACTGTAATCAGCCCGCTGGATGTGTGTATGTACGGTAGCTGCGGCTACATACAGTATACACTGGGCCAATCATGGATTTTGAAGGATTTTAAGTACCGGTAAGTCACAGCCAGGGGCGGACTGACAACTCATGGGGCCCCCGGGCAATAGGGGATCATGGGACCCTTGTGTCCTTGCCCAAACTCAAAAAAGTCTATGAAAAAGGTACCAGGGGCATCTCATGGGGCCCCTTACTGACCCCGGGCCGTGCCCGAGTTTCCAAATGGTCAGTCCGCCCCTGGGCAATGATAATCTGTGCAGATTTCCTCTGTGACACTTGCTGTTTAACGGCAGTGCTTTCCTCATGCTATGACTTTGTGAGAAAAGTGCTGCAGATAACCGACAACTGTATTCATTTTGTGATCAGCTGGCATTGGACACAGCTGATCACGTGGTTACAGGCCGCTGTGATTGGCCTTTTACCTTGTGATGTCATCAGCGATCAGACAGCACTGGGGGCCATACGACACCCTCCCAGAACTGGACAACCACGCTGTAGCAGTCATTTGGCTATAGCATGGCTGTAAAACAGCTGCACCAGATTTTGCATTCTACAATTTCAGTAGATCCACCCTCCCAAATGTTCTCTTATGCCTAGTCCCTACTGTTAATACCCTTATATTTTTTTTTTTTTTTTGTATGCTAAATTGTGTTAATTACTATTGTTAATACATTTTATGCTTGCCTAGTTCCAACCATATTGGATGACAATACACTGTTTGCTTTTACTACCTGGTTTCGTGCCTTTTTTTTCTTTGATTTAGCACTACTATTGTTTTCTATGTATTACTATTTATGTATTACAGTGAATTCCTGTGATTATTGTATGTTTGTACACTCAACTTGGTGTGTCAGAGGGACTGAGATTCTTGAGAATGTCGAGGAAAGAATCTATCTGGTGGCTCCTACAGAGGTAGCGCTACAGGTTTGTGCAAAACCTAGAAAATTGCTGTTAGTACACCATTCAAAAGGATATAGGCTATGTCTGTGCACCCAACATCCAACTGCTACAGGTGGCCCTGACTCCTAGAAATGGTGAAAACTTTGTGGCTGTCCATATTGGTACAGTTTAATGTCTGTTGGAAATGAGTGCAACTAACTAGTCAGATACTAGTGCTGGATGGACGACCAGTAATGATGCATCAGCAAAATGAACAGAGTGCTCCTAATGGCTCTTGGTGCTGAAGGGTTTAATCCTAGAGTAATCTTGGGTGAAATCCTGCACCATCCCTTATCCTACGGCTGCCTAAGGTGGTTGACCTATATGGAACACATGCAGGTTCCAGCAGCAGAACTTCTTGAAAGAACATTCTCACTTTTGGGATTGCATAGCTGCTAAAGGTCCAGCATTGGCACTCCGTAACATTGCAACTCATATATGGTCTAGATCTTCCATCCTTGACATTTTATTTAAAAATATTATTCAGTTTTAAAAACACGTTTTTAACCCCCAACATAATGCTTTTTGTCACGTCAAAAATTCTTTTACAGTAAATATGCATGCTATATAAGCAGCGTCATACTGTATAACAGATTCATGTCTGGACAGGTACAATGGGAAAAAAAGTATTTCTTTTCTCCTGTCCTAGAAAAGGCTGCCACCGCTCTACACGCTTCCTGCAGTGGAAGTTATAATCCCAGCACACAGGATTGTTGTGAACCATACAGTAGTTGGCTTTTAAATGCCTCCAATATAAATGGTTTCAAGAAGTTAAAGTTCTAAAATTAACCATCTGATCTTTTGTCCCTGTTTCACACTGAATACAACTTTGAAATCGCACTACTTCACTTGAAATGGCACAATTAAAGTGCGATTTTTATTCATTTTTTTTTTTTTCTCCTCTGATATAACTGTGGCTTGCGACTTCATTTAGCAGACGTTATTGCAAGTCGCAATGAAATCCAGGAAAAAGATGTGAACTATTTTTGAAATCGTGCTACTTCAAATCTCACTGATTTAGACATTGTGTCATAGAAATACATTAGATACGACTTCAGGCGTGATTTGTAAATCACATGTTGCACTGGTGTGAACCAACGCTTAAAGTGGTCCCTTTGACTGACTTTATAGCTGGTCAAAAGAGAGCAGAGTTTTTGTTTTTTGTGTTTTGTGTTTTTTGTTTTTTTGTTTTTTTTTTTTTTAATCCAGTTGTACTCTCATTGCATTTAAAAGGTCAGTTTTGATGAAGGCCTCTTTCATACAGGGGCCTCTAACTGCCATGGCATCTTCGGAGTGACAGGTGCAGAGTCCAGCTTAAAGGCTATGACAGGAAGCAGTTGGGCAGGTCTGAAAGCTGTTCTGACTGGTACCTGTGTGTAGGGTCCTATGCATTTAGGGACGGATGCCCAAAACACAGGTCTTCTGCTTTCCAGACATTTGCCCCTGAACGCATAGGGCCCCTAATACCAGTACCACTTGGCACAGTATTCAGCCTGTAGCAAGGGCTCAGCAGCCGATCCATCCCACTTTGCTGCCCCCTCTGCTCGGGGCTGTATAGGAGCATGAGGGAGAAGTCTGTGTCGTGCTCCCCCCGCAAGGGGAACAGTGTACGCAGAGACGGTGTGCAGCTGAGGGCTTTATCACATAAAAAGGACGTTGTCACACGCAAGTTAATCTTGAGAGTTGAACCTAGTAGTGAGTTAGCCTGACTTTATTACAGCTCACTTTGGGAAAGAAAAATCCCAGTGCTGGAATTATTGTTTAACCGCCTCCCGCCCGCCATATAAGATAATGACGGGCACAAGGCGGTTCTCTTTCTGGGAGGACATCATATGACGTCGTCCCATTCTAACCAAGCATGCGCGGCTCTGGGAGTGCGCGGCGATCGGTGGTGCGCTGTCTCCCTTAGACACAGCGGATCACCAATCAATGGAAAGAGCTGAAGATGTCGGCTCGGTCATGTAATCAGCTGTGTTCAATCACAGCCGATCACATGTAAATAGGTAAATGCCGGTTATTGGCATTCCTCTCCTCACAAGCTGTCACGCTGACAGCTCGAGAGGAGAGCCGGTAATCAGCATTACTCAGAGGGGACATGTACACTGATCTTCAGGGCACTGATCATCAGTGTGCCCTGATGATCAGTGTAGCCCCAGCAGTGCCAGCTGTCAGTGCTCCTCAATGCCACATATCAGTGCCTACCAGTGCACATCAATGCCACATATCAGTGCCCATCTGAGCTGCTTTTCAGTGTTACCTGTCAGTGCCACCTATCAGTGTCTGTCGGTGCCAGTCAGTGCTGCCTATCAGTACCACCTGCCAGTGCCACTTGTCAGTGCCATATATGAGTGCTGCCTTTCAGTGCCCATCAGGGATGCCTGTCAATGCCCATCAGTGCCACCTATCAGTTTCCATCAGTGCAGCCTATCAGTGCCCATCACTGCAGCCTCATTAGCGCACATCAGTAAAGGATAAAAATCACTTATTTACAAAATTTTATAACAAAAACTAAGAAAAACCTTTTTTTTTTTTCAACATTTTCAGTGGTTTTTGGTTTATTTGGCAAAAAATAAAAAAAAAACCCAGTGGTGATTAAATACCACCAAAAGAAAGCTCTGTCTCAAAAAATATTTCATATGGATACAGTGTTGTATTACCACGCAATTGTCATTCAAAGTGCAACAGCGCTGAAAGCTGAAAATTGGCCTGGGCAGGAAGAGGGTATAAGTGCCCTGTAGGTGAGTGGTTAAACTCTGGTCCTACAAGACAGTTGGGTCTACTTACCCGCTTGCCCACCACCCTATAGTAGAACTACTGCTACAGGGTGGCAGGACTGTGCAAAATTGCGTGTATATATACGTGATTTGCATTTCCAGGTAGGGGGTGCATGCACACTGCCCTACCCGCGCCTCCATTGGCAGCTAGGGATGTCAATCACCAGTTCCCGGCTGCCGGTGATTGCCGGCAATTGGCGATTTGTCAGGGACAGCTGACTGGGTAGAGACCTGTGGTCTGTCTCCTGTCAGGATTGATATGCTGTGTTGTATCTCTCTGCAGAGCAGAGAGATACAACACTGCATGTCTCCAAAGTAAAACATACATCGCACACAGTGAACTTATTGCCCCTTATGTTAACCCCTTCCTGCCCAGTGTCATTAGTACAGTGTCAGTGCATTTTATTAGCACTGATCACTGTATTAGTATCACTGTGGATTCCAGCGGCAGTTCCCCTCAGTGTCAGAATGCCCACTGCAGTCCCGCTATAAGTCGCTGATCGCCGCCATTACTAGTATTAAAAAAATAAGTGTGTGTGTCTAGATAGATGTACAGTTAGATAGATAGATAGTTAGATATAATATATTTGAACACAGGCACAGTTTTTGTTTTTTGTTTTTTTTTTTTTTTTCTCAGGTATTTTCAAAAACGCATTCAAGCTATAGTTTTATAATGGATAAGGGCTGAAAGTGCACACTCTCAGGTTTAATTTGAGGGTATGTATATCCAAATTGGAGAAAGGGTTTATGAATTACAGCTCTTTAAGAGTAGCCATCCCTCCCTTTTTTCAATGGACCAAAAGTAATTGGACAAATTAATATAATCATAAATAAAATGTTCATTTTTAATATTTTGAGAATCCTTTACTGGCAATGACTGCCTGAAGTCTGGAATCCATGGACATTACCAAAGACTGAGTTTCCTCCTTTCTGATGCTTTGCCAGGATCTAACTGCAGCTATCTTCAGTTGTTTGTGGATCTTTTGGCCTTTAGTTTTCCCTTCAGCAAGTGTAATGCATGCTCAATTGGGTTGAGATCAGGTTATTGGCTCGGTCATTGCAGAATATTCCACTTTTCCTTCAAAAGCTCCTGTTGATAATGCAGTGTGTTTTGGATCATTGTCCATCTGGACTGTGAAGCGCCGTCCAAGCAACTTTGCTGCATTTGGCTGAATCTGGGCTGACAGTATATCTCTAAACACTGCAGAATTCATCCGGCTGCTTCTGTCTTCTGTCACATCAATAAACACCGATGACCCAGAGCCATTGGAAGCCATGCATGCCCATGCCATCACACTGCCTCCACCATGTTTTACAGATGACATTGTGTGCTTTGGTAAAGATTCTGGTAAAGATTAATCTTAATTTCATCCAAAGAATGCATTTCCAGAACTGGTCTGGCTTTCTTAGATGGTGGGTGTTTTTTTTTTTTGTTTGTTTGTGTTTTTTTTTTTTTTTTTTTTTTGTGCAAAATCTAATCTGGCTTTTCTATTCTTCAGGCTTGTGAATGGTTTGCACCTTGTGGTGAACCCTCAGTATTTGCTCTTGTGAAGTCTTCTTTTGATTGTAGTCTTTTACAATGATTCGCCCATCTCCTGGAGAGTGTCCTTCACTTGTCTGGATGCTGTGAATGGGTTTTTCTTTACCATAGAGAGGATCCTGTGATCATCCACCACTGTTGTCTTCCATGGATGTCCATGCCTCTTTTCTGTTGCTGAGCTCACCAGTGCATTTTTCTTTCCTCTGAATGTACCAAATTGTTGATTTGGCCACTCCTAATGTTGCTGCTATCTCCCTGATGGATTTGTATTGTTTTTGAAGCCTTACAATGGCCTGTTTGACTTGCATGGACAGCTCCTAAGAATGCATGATGTAGGTTCACAGCAATTGATTCCAAATGCCTAACTTAAGCAGGCCATAGACTTCTGATAAAGTTGACGAATTATCGGCGGATTTAAAAAAAAAAAAAAAAAAAAAAAAAAAATCTGCCTATGAAAAAAAATCGGCCGACATTCAGATCGTTAGTGGGGAAATCGGACGGCCGTTTTTCATAATTTTAAGACATTTAGAAAATCAAGAAATGGGAAAATCCTCCTGCGTTCAACTATACGGGCCCCTATAAAATATGCCAGCTGCTATCACCTAATTCCTTTATACCTTAGGATATAACAAAGTAAACCAATAAATGGTGAAGTGCTAAACAAACACAATTTTATAAAAATAAATAAGTTATGCAAAATATTAACCAAAATCCACATTCATAATTGATGAAATAACTCAATAAATAATATAAATAAATTATTATACAGTGATGATAAAAAATAACATGCATAAGTGACTCCAACAAATGTTATAGAAGTGACGTGCTCAATTTGCAAACCCACAATAAACTGTGTACAACCAAATGCCTGGTCTGCCAACCAAATAGGCTCACCCGGTTAATGTAGTGTAAATAAGTGATATCCACACTCAAATACAATATAATCAAATTAATGTAAAAAATCTACTAAATATAAATAAAGTTCAGTGCAAATAACAACTGTGCTCAATCAAATATAAAGTGCTTCAATCTTCATTCCACACTTGCTTTGTGCTTGGTGGTGACACTCTAGTGTAACTTATCCCACAGTGGCTAGGGTGCCGCCTCACCTCCTAGCATCGACCCCCTCAGGGTCACAACACTTTTTGGATATCCCACACCAGAAGGTGTCTCACAATCTGGCTCCACTGGTTCCAATAGAACTCCACTCCAACATCAGCGCACCTCAAGATACCCTTCCACACAATTGGACTCAGGCATGTATGAAGGAGCAAACCAAGAAGACCAATCATTAGATGTGGTGACCGCTTTAGTTTTCTTTTCTTGGGCTTTTTTCCCTTTGTTTTCACCTGGTGATTTGAACAGTAACACACCTCCAGGTATGAGAGGGCCCCCGAATCCAGCCGTCTGACCCGACTCCGAGTCCAGATCTCTAGCCCCACAGCCTCTCGAGTTCCGACATCTGATCCCCCTATTGTCCTGCACAGCCAGGCAACACACATTTCCTTCCAGACTAACACTCCAGAGGCCATAAGCAATCCTTGAACTTTGAACGTGGCATTTTTTGGGATTTTATTAGGGGATAACTTGGATGAGGGTACATAGGATGCCCAAGGAACACTGTAAAACTGAGGACAACTTCTTATGTTCAAATAGTCCGAAAGGGTTTCTCTCTCCCCCCACCCCCCCCCACCCTACCTTCTTCTTTTTTTTTTTTTTTTTTTCCCTAGAGAGCTAGCCAGCCTCTCCTTGTGTACCTCCTCAGACCCCAAATTAAATCTCCTCTTCACCCAGCTGCCCTGGAATCCCTGGCCAAGAGGTCCCAGAAGCTGCTACCTTAAAAGACCAAATTGAGGTGTGGCAGTGGGACTTTTATTATACCTCCTAGGGGTTCACAAGTAGACCTATGTTATACACAGACACAAATATGCATAAAAGTTACATAGTTTGTACCTAGAGATGGTTATTTTTATATGTCAAATTTAACAAACCTCTTTCTTGGATAAAAATGTATCCAATAATGTAGGTTGATGCGCTTCATAGGCATTCCTATTTCTGGACCCACAAATCATTTACTTAAAAATATACATACAGTATTCAAATCTGAAATATCTCCCTATTTGTTGGAGAGCAGGATATCAGATATAAGAACAAGTCTTTGGGTACAGATGAAATGTGTGTCACTTATATGCGCTTACCAGCCCAAGGGAAATCGCCTTTGAAGACATCAAGGCCCGAGAACTAGAGTACAAATTCCAGTATGAGTCAAAAATTGCTTGTACATAGGACCCAAATAAATGCCGGACAGTGTCTCTGAGAGAAGCAGAAACAACTTCCCAGCTAGTTTAGAATATACAGTATCTCACAGAAGTGAGTACACCCCTCACATTTGTCTAAATATTTTATTCTATCTTTTCATGTGACAACACTGAAGAAATTACACTTTGCTACAATGTAAAGTAGTGAGTGTACAGCTTGTATAACAGTGTAAATTTGCTGTCCCCTCAAAATAACTCAACACACAGCCATTAATGTCTAAACCGCTGGCAACAAAAGTGAGTACACCCCTAAGTGAAAATGTCCAAATTGGGCCCAATCATCCATTTCCCTCCCCTATGTCATGTGACTCATTAGTGTTACAAGGTCTCAGGTGTGAATGGGGAGCAGGTGTGTTAAATTTGGTGTTATCGCTCTCCCTCTCTTACTGGTCACTGGAAGTTCAACATGGCAACTCATGGCAAAGAACTCTGAGGATCTGAAAAAAGAATTGTTGCTCTACATAAAGATGGCCTAGGCTAGAAGAAGATTGCAAAGACCTTGAAACAAAGCTGAGACCATACAGCGGTTTAACAGGACAGGTTCCACTCAGAACAGGCCTCTCCATGGTCGACCAAAGAAGTTGAGTGCTCGTGCTCAGAGGTAGTCTTTGGGAAATAGACGTATGAGTGCTTCCAGGATTGCTGCAGAGGTTGAAGGGTTGGGGGGGTCAGCCTGTCAGTGCTCAGACCATACACCGCACACTGCATCAAATCGGTCTGCATGGCTGCCGTCCCAGAAGGAAGCCTCTTCTAAAGATGCACAAGAAAGCTTGCAAACACTTTGCTGAAGACAAGCAGACTAAGGACATGGATAAGTGGAATCATGTCCTGAGGTCTGATGAGACCAAGATAAACTTATTTGGTTCAGATGGTGTCAAGCGTGTGTGGCGGCAACCAGGTGAGGAGTGC